CATCTGATCTAATCTATGGGAGCATTGCCTCTGCAATCTGGAAGTGCTTGGATTTGAGCAGGTTTTACATATTAGATGTATTTTTTCTAATTGTTTTTTTATTACTTTGGTAAAGCTTTAACTTTTCAACATTAGAGCAGGGGTCCCCAACCCGCAGGCCACTAGCCCACTACTGGGCTACGGCCTGTTCAGAACAGGGCTGCGCAAACAGCAGGCAAGTGTGCATGGGCGTGCAAAGCTCTATTTGAGTGGAGGATGTGCACCTACCAGTCACATGAAACTATTCCCTCTCCACCCCACCGGTCCATCAAGCCAGATAGGTTGGGGGCTGCTGCATTAGAAGATTTCTATTTACATAGTATATACCTTTTTTCATACATTTAGATTTGAATTTAGTGACACCTTGGAAGACATTAAGAAACGAGCCTTAGATATTGCAGTGAAAAACAGAAAGTCACTTATTTCACATGAAAGGAAAGAACTTGGAAAGGTAAGATACTCTTTTAAATATGCTATTCACATCTTCCCTTTCTCTCCACCCTTATATACTTGAAGTAAGATCTTGTTATACAAATTATTTAGATAATAACTATGGATTGCTATGTAACTTTAAAATGTTGCTACTCTCTAGAGCAGTGATTCTCAACCTTGACAATTTTAAGGCATGTGGACTTCAACTCCCAGAATTCCACAGCCAGCACTGCTGGCTGTGGAATTCTGGGAGTTGAAGTCCACATGCCTTAAAATTGTCAAGGTTGAGAATCACTGCTCTAGAGGAAGCATCTAAAAAGAATATGGAGCAGTATGCAGTAAATAGCAGTACTGTGTTATAAGCTTGCTAGGCAATTTATACGTGGAAATACACTTTATTTTTTAACTTGTTCTTGTAACTTAAATATTTGATTAAGCAGCTTAACAATTCTGCCTTTTCTTTTTAAAGGTGCTGATTGACTTATCAAAGGAAGATTTAGTCAAGGGCTTCTCTCAATGGTATGTTTGGATGGTCAGCATATAAGAAGGTAGCAATGCAAGAGGATTAGCTATTAGATCTGGATAGTGCAGAATGGACCGAGCAGAAGAAATAATAATTGCTTATTTCAAGGACTGGTTCCTCTCCCTCCTAAAAGAGGCAATGGAAAATCTAGGGAGAATTTCACTTCCTATATTTAGGCTGTGCTTTACAATATTCCACCTCTTTGCTTTCTATGATTCAGCCACAATTCAAATTGCAATCTCACTATCAGTTTAATTTTGCTAATGAGGGGATGTTAAGATCTGTAGTGATTAGTATGATCTATTTATGGCCAATCAGTATTTATCCAAACAAGATTTTAATACCAACAGAGCAGTAAGGAATGAGAAATTGGATAAACCAAGGAACTATGGCTTGAGTACTAGTTAGATATGGGCTTGGTGCCCTGTAGCTGTGCTGCTTTCACCATTGTCAATTTTAAAAACTTGATTTCATAAAATAGGGAGAAAACAAAGTAACATTGAAAACATGAAAAGCCCCCCCACACACACATTACTCATTCCAAACATTTTGCTTTCAAACAGCCTGAGAATGGTGATGCAATATTTTGAATATTTTAGGTTTAGTGAATCTTGCAGAAAGGTCCTGAAACTGGGAAGGAGTATCTGGAAGGCTGTTTTCAATGCAGTGATTTAACTGTACTTTATTCAGCTGATAATTTCACCCTCACACAGCTAGATAATGCAACCACATCTAGGACAGACCAGCTGAATTCCATCGGGATTCTTTGGTTCCCTGTCTTATATACACATACACGTATACTTGTACACACATGCAGACACAAAAGGCAGGGATATACTATATAGCTAGCTAGTTAGTGGAGGAGTATCTGCTTTAACCCATCATGCCACCTTTCTTTTACAGGTATCAGTTGACAAATGGACAGCCCCAGAGTTGACTCCTTCACACATGATCAACAGCACACTTCATGTATATTTGGAACTTTGAAGGCCGCAATAAGATTTTGTAAATGTTTATACTTCAATAACGCTTAACTTATTTAATGCATTACTATATTTCTTAAAATTCTGACTTTTTCAAGGGATGAATTTGGCATCATCCTGCATTTAACTTTTAATGGTAAAGTTTATAACAGTAAATGTGTACCTGAGGAGTTCCCCAACTGATTGACCAAAGACAGGACAAATTCTGAGGCAGAGTGCTCTGCTTTCCATATTCTCAGGCTTTTCTGACCAAGCACTGTTTGTTGCTGCTTAATTTCCCCTCCCAGCTCTGTTCCCCCACACGAAGTGCCACAGGTAAACCCAGGGTCCATATCATTTTGAAAGCACGTTGACAGGTATGCTAGTTTTGCTTACAGAATGTACTTTTTTAGTCTGTATTGAACCGTCTTTTTCTGGGTGGTGAGACAAAAAAATCCCTCATCCCTGCAGCTACAGTGGGGGGGGGGGGGCTCTTCCTTCAAAGAGCATTTCCTCACATTTCATTGAATCCTGTTCTAAAGGATCCTCTGATTGTTTTTTAATGATCCAAGGGATTAAGGAAAGAGGATGGCTGGCAAAGAGGCAAATGCACTAGAATCTAATCATTGCCTTCAATTTTGTACATAAAACAGACCATGTTTTGCATTATTTATGCCAAAGAATCTAATTCAGAAACTGTCTACATTACAGATGTAATGCGCTTTTAAAGAATAAACTAACTTATGATATAGTAGCTGCTTGCAACTTATTAACTACCAATATTCTGTTCATTAATACACCTTATTAATCTGCTTTGAAAACTTGGTTCCTATGCTATTGAAAGCAAATAACAAATCTTCCAAGATTCCGTTCAGACATTTTTAATAAAAAATATTCAAAAATACATTAAGAGGTAGTCAACATGTTAAAAGTTTACATTTAGTTTATATTATTGGACCATCCATTTCAGCTTCTGTACAGCAGGTAATATTTCTGCGAGACTTCTGACTTCTGAAACAAAAGCAATTTTGCACACATTTTGCCTTTTCAATTCAACAGTCACCTATTTTTAGATATCCAATGGAATGCTTAAAATGGCCCCATATTTATACTTTATATTATAAACTATGTAAAATTTTCCTTACATTTCAGAAGTAAACTATAAACTAACCAGGCTATAATTAGTTTAGTTTATGAATGGAAAACTCCAGTCTGGAAGTATAGAACCCCACACTCAAAATGACCAGGTTTTACTATACATTCTAAGGATTTCTTAAAATTAAATTCATCAGCTTCTGAAACAGATCACACAGTTCAGCGGGGTTCTTTGCTTGCAATATTGCTACACTTCATAAAAGCATGTCCCCATGAAGGCTGAACGTGGCTATTTCAGGGGTTTTTCCAAGGTCATCTCACCTATATTCACAGTGGACTCCTCCAATGAAAATGGCAGTAAAAACAAGCAACCCTCAGTGGCAATCCAAGGGGAAGTATTTGGGGGTACTGGGAAGTCCTTAAAATGCCTTCAAAGCAAATGCACGGAGCCTCTCAAAAGATGCAGTCACACTATATCATTCTCAGCAACATCGTAAGTGAATTGTCCTGCTGAATGCTTGGCAATGCTCCCCCCCCACAATAACTAGCCAATGTAAAACAATCCTTATGTAATTACTATGAATTTTGCTGAATAATCCTAAAATCACTTTCTACTTGGTCCTGATAGCAAGGGTAATAAGCACATAGGTGTATATTCCAAAAAGAGAAGAATGCAAACAGGGAAAAACTATTTTACAGTTATAATTATTTATAATATTACTTTCTAGACCAGGGGTGTCAAACTCCCAACATCAAGTGACGTGTCGCGACGTATCACAACTTTTTTGCCATTGCTGGCAATGGGGTGGGCACTGTTTTGCTATGATGCATCCGGCCCGTGGGCCGGCAGTTTGACACCCACATTCTAGACATTATTCAGCAATACCTTTGGGTAGTCTTTGACTGCTGTTCTCAATACTTTTTTGAGGCGGGATATGCAACATTGACTTACAAGGACAATGGATCGTGCCACATAATCATAAATTTCTTTGAGATATATTTCAAAAGACAGCTAAATGTTGCCCTTAAATTCTGGTGAAAACAAAATTCATGTGGAATAATGTACTGAAAGCCCAGGCCCCTCTATCCATTATCATTAATTTGCAAAAAGTGCTTACCCAGAACACGAAGTAAGTTGTTAATAAGAGCATGAAATGCTGGGAAAAAGTCGTCATGTTCTTCTAACTTGTAGATAATGCTGAAAAATATCAATTTGACAAATATCCATTCTCTCCTTTTGTTATTTAAACAACATGCCCTAATTTTATCACGGTGGCCAACTAATTACAGTTGACTGCAAATTGAGTATGAGACAGCAGTGTGATGTGGCTGCAAAAAAGACAAATGTAATTTTAAATTCTATCTGCAGAAATGTACAGGCAGTGTTCATTCAGCAATCACTCATTCAGTGACCATCTGAAGTTACAATGGCACCGAATGAGGGAACTTATGATTATTCCTTGTACTTGCGGCTGTTGCAGGATTCTTGCAGTCACATGATTGTGATCTGGGCACTTGGCAACTGGCTGGCAATTACGAGGATCACAATATCCACAGTCATGTGATCACCATTTGTGACCTTTCTTGCCAGTTTCCAACAGGCAAAGTCAATGGAGAAACCAGCAGAAAGTTGCAAATGATCACATGATCACAGGACATTGTGATTGTGTGGGATTCACCTACTAATGGCAACTGGAACTGCTGCAACTGCAATCATAAATTAGGTGGCCGTGTGACATCTCCTTTTAGGATCAAATCCTTAGGGACAGACTTGCCGGTCCCAATTAGTATCATTAAGTGAGGACTACCTGTGATATCAAAAGAATACTTAAGCAGAAGAATTAAGCATTCCATTCTCTTCTCCCATGATCAGGTCTCGCCTAAAGTACCCATATCCACCTTTGGACACCCCATTTTTAAGGAACACTGTGAGAAAATGGAATATATTCAGAGAAAGGCAAAGATGATCAAGACACTAGAAATTAAGCCCCAAAAGTCCCAAAAAGCTGTCTAGCATTTGCCTTGAGTAATATGGCTACGATGGCCATGATAGTGTTCTTCAAATACCCAACAGGATGTCATACCATTCTCTCTCCATTATGAATTTAGAATGTAGGGCTAAAGGCATCTTTGTAAAGCTACAATTAGTTAACTATGAAGATCTACATACCTTTCAATGTCTTGTGTGCCCAGGAGTTGTTCCACCTGCCAGGCCACATTCTCATTAAACAAATTGCATAGCTTTCCAACAGTGTTCACCAGGACACTAGGTGGTGCTGAGCTATCTATGAAGAAACATTGTATCAGTTTCTGTGCAACATTTCACAATACAGTAAGTAAGTGGGAGCAAATTAAACAGCAAGCTGTTCGAAGTGGTTGCCAACTCAAACATCCAAACTAAGGAACGTAGGAAAATATTGTGCAAGGCAGCATACCAGAGTTTTTAATGGGAAGGCGAAACTAATAACCCATTAAAACGATTGTGGTACTGATAGTGGAAGGATAAGACCAACAGGATTAACAGAGCAATCCTGGTATTTTGGAAGCCCTGATATTTCACAAGACTGGCTTGGATCATGCCAACAGTATGGGATGAAAGAAAGTTCCTTCCTGTCATTTCTTTATAGGAAGAAAACCTTCCTTTATAGGCAATGAAGAACAGCACTAGGATATTAGAAAGAGCACTAGGACTATGTGTGGAGATTGATTGATTTGCATGAGTAATTGATTGATTGATTAAACTTGTATGCCACCCACCTGGCCTACAGGCAACTCTGGATGGCTTATAAATATTAAAATCCAGTAAACATTAAAACTATAAATAATAATAATAATTTACAATTAAAAGAAGGGAGGGAGGGAGGGAGGGAGGGAGGGAGGGAGCAAGATGCACATGGGGAATATATGACAATTTTAACCTGCTTCCCATTCATCCTTCCACATGTTAAAAAATGATGGGCTTTTCTGTAAGGTCATAGCTAAGGAGCTATCAGATCTCTTCCAAAGTGTATTTCCAGTCTTTCTTGTGGCCATGTAATGCAGTCCTGGGAGCTGCAGAACTATTGCCTTACATGGGTTTTTAAAATCCGTAACGCCGAAAGAGTCAACAGCAAATCTGGTGCTGCATTTAATGGTCTTTTGCAACTTGCTTTTGCTGAGCTTGTATATAACTAAACTTTAAACATTAAAATGAAACCAAACAAAATATGTAGAATTCAATACGATTTGCTGCTGTGTCCTCTATTTTATTATTCCATCCTCAACTTTTGCTTTACCTCAACATACATTTGCAATTAAATTTAAGAGGCAGGAAAAGCATTTCCCTTGGGTAAAATTTTTATGGCAGCCATTCTCTTCCTGCAAAACTCATGCCCTTTCAACCTACAGTCCTCTTTCAAAGAACACCGCTGAGCTCTTCCTCATCCCCACATTATCCTGGTCTGACTTTGAGCAGGTTAGAGGAAGAGCAACAGATTCTTACCTAGTTCTAAGAGGTCACAGAGGTTCCTCATAGCATTGATCATTTCGCCAAGTTTTGTATAAACCTCATTC